CTGCTTTCGTCAGGACTGTCCCTTGTCGTGGGGGTTCTTTTTATCCAGTTTCCAGTTTTCAATCCAGGGTGATTCTTCCCAAAATTGTTGTAACCTAGTTGTGTTCATGGGAGGAGGTGAGTTCAACGTGTGCTCACAGCACCATCTTGACGAGATCCTCAAGTTTTAAATACAACTCATTTTTTTCTTCCTCTTTCCTCCTCTCACTTCCTCTTTTTTTACTCCTATTTTTTTCAAAAATGATTTGAAGAGAAGATAGGAGAATTAACTTAAAATAAAACCAATGTTAGTTGAAAAAATGCACTCTTCTAAAAAATTCTGGTAACCTAGAATTAGAAATGAATACAACTGGAAAACTAATGAATTCTGTGACTATGTACCAGGAATAATTATTTTATTTCTGTAACTTTCTGTGCTTACAAAAATGACAAGTCATCCTGAGAATTAAGCAGATTAAAGAAGAGAAAAACAAATGTATCTACCAGAGGGACAATACGGTGGCTCTGAGTGAAAAGCCCCTCTTCTCCCTTGTTCTTTGGGCTATGTCCTTTTCCCTCTTTCCATCCTGCATCACCAGTTTCTACCTCATCACTGGACAGCAATACAAACACACAAATATACTTTACAACCTAATCCCCAACGTATGATATCCTGACCTCACGTCCTCTACCATATACCATCTCATTTTCTTCCCCCATTAAACGCAAAACTTATTGAATTATGAATATATTTTCATTGTCTTTGTTCCCTTACTCTATTTTCTTATTTCAGCTCTCTCCAATATATCTCCTGAGTCCACTAAAACTCCTCCTGCCAAGTTTATCAATGATCTCCACATTGTGAACCCTATCGGTCAATTCTTTGTTCTCCTCTTTCCAGAATAATTGTATAATTTATCATCCAAATCAGGAAATGTTTGAAATTAAAAGCGGGCACTTAACTAATTAATACTATTTTATTTTTTGAAATATTAATATGTTAGATAAATTTTCTTATAATGGTGAACTGGTAAAGTAGTTTTATAAAAAGGGAGAGTGAAAGGGGTAAAGAGGCACGTGTATACAGTGATGGATGGCAACTAGACTTTAGAGGGTGAACACAAGGCAGTCTACACAGAAATCGAAATATAATGATGTACATCTGAAATTTATATAATATTGTATACCAACGTTACTCAACAAAAAATTTTTAAAAATGTGTGTTTAATACCCTAAAAAAATTTTCAAACAGAAAATTATTTCTAAAAATAGACATATTGATAGAGGTAAAATAAAATTTATTACTATTTATACATTATACTCTCTGCAAGTGTCTCAAGGCCAAAGACAGGCTGGTGGGAAAGCTCTGACCAGCGAGGCCATATGCTCCCCCTTCCCTACCTAAAACCCCAAATAAAAACCCTTCCTTTTAGCTTTTTGGGGAGTTTGGGATTTCAACATTAGCTGCCTTCTCTCCTTGCTCTGCGCTGTGCAAAAATAAACTTCCTACTTTCTTCCACCACACCCGGTGTCAGAGATTGGCTTGCTGCGCAATGGGTGAGCGAACTTACTTCAGGTTCGGTATCATTATCAATCCACATTGCACCTCCTTATCCCTAAGCAGAGGGGTTGACTCTCCCTCCAGCCTGTAAGGGTTGCAAACTGATGCGAATCCAGCCACAGTTTCAGTGAGTTGTGACTAAATCCACATCCTTCAGATGCGAGAGAAGTGATGTTGGCATGCTGGAGTAGGGTGGACTACATCTCCCTCTTGTGGCTGTTGTGTGGAACTCTTCACAAATCCTTTCTGGTTATAAGTATAGCTCTAAGTCAGTGAGTGGTTCTATAGATCTCAACTCAGATTTCATTTGGGTTTGAGGTAGGGTTTGGATATCAGTATTTTTTTTCTCTTTTTTCTTTTTCTTTTTTTTTGAGGAAGATTAGCCCTGAGCTAACATCTGCTGGGGCTGGCCCTGAGCTAACATCCATGCCCATCTTCCTCTACTTTATATGTGGGACGCCTACCACAGCATGGCATGCCAAGCGGTGCCATGGTCGCACCCGGGATCCGAACTGGCGAACCCCGGGCTGCTGAAGCGGAACGTGAGCACTTAACCGCTGCACAACCGGGTCGACTCTGGACATCAGTATTTTTAAAAAGCTACCCAGGTAGCTCTAATATCTAGATAACCTTGGGAATATTGGCAGTTGTGGGCCATGCTTAGGTGACCAGGTGGCCACTTTCAAAATATGATTTTTGATAGACGTATTTCTTGGTATATAGAAGTATATCTAGTTTACCCAAAATGACGAGGGGGCTAGTATGTTTCTAGATCAGTGGTTCTCAGTTTAGTGGCTCTCAATCAGTGGGTAGATTTTTCCTAGTAGGGAAACATTTGGCAACGTCTGAGGCATTTTTCTTTTTTAAGATTGGCACCTGAGCTAACATCTGTTGCCAATCCCTTTCTTTCTTTCTTCTTCTTCTTCTCCCCAAAGGTCCCCAGTACATAGTCGTATATTCTAGTTGTAAGTCCTTCTGGTTGTGCTGTGTGGGACACTGCTTCAGCATGGCTTGATGAACGGTGCCATTTCCATGCCCAGGATCGGAACTGGCAAAACCCTGGGCTGCCGAAGTGGAGTTCGTGAACTCAAGCACTCGGCCACAGGACTGGCCCTCTGGAGGCAATTTTGATTGTCATGACCAGGGTCAAAGGATGTGCTACTGGCGTCTAGTGGGTAGAAGCCAGGGATGCTTCTAAACATCATATGATGCACAGGACAGTCCCCATGACAAACAATATCTGGACCAAAACGTCAATAATGCTGTGGTTGAAAAACTCTGCTTTAGATTTTCTCTGCAAAGGGAATTTGGAGAAGTTGAGGAATGGCGATTACTTTGGCTGTGACAAAAATTTAACAATCTTTTAAACACAGCTGTCTTGTCTGTGAGGAGGGTAGCTCCTGACCTTGGTGAAGAAGTCACAGAACCAAGCGTTGCCCACAGCGTAGGAAAGGGACAACCTCACAGCTCATCAAATTAAACCAGCCCCCTTCAGTGATTCATAACCATAGCCATAGCGACACAAGGCCCTGAAACATGGTTTACCGTATGGCTATGTTATGAATCCTCTAGGTAACATGAGACAAAAGTGCAATCTCCTTGGTGGATTGTCTGTGTTGTATTCAGCTCTGGGAGGTAGAAACAAAAATTTCAGGGAGAGAGGTAATTTACTGTAATCAGTGGTTTCTCAGTCAGCATGTGCTCCCTTTACCCATCACATCCCAGCTGTGTGCCTAGAGCAAGTGTCCTAACGAGGCTTGAGCCTACGCCCAGTCGTGTTTCAGAACACCAGTCCCTTAAAACCGAGAATGAGTCTGTTCCTCCTGAGTTCTCCAGAATTCAGATATGCTCAGTCAAAAGAAAACATTAGAGAGGAAACACGGGGAAACCAGACTCCAAGGTCTCAGTATTCTTTTTGTAAGCCTAAGGAAAAGGAAAGCTTCAGCCCACTCACAGTACCTTTGGGGGACACTGGAGAGGGAGAAGCGTATACTTGGAGGAGTTCTCTGCTTTCCCACTTGAGTCCGGTGCCTGGTGGTGCAGGACATAACGTCAGATGTCATTTGAGGGATGGCCCGACAGTCTCCAAGACACAGCCATCCTCCCCAGTGAGGTCTGGAGCCTAGGGAATTTTGAAGGGATAGCCTTGTCTTCCCCGCTTTGTTTCTGCCCTTCCACCAGGTAGAATTGGGCCACAGGAAAAACCCAACTGTTGGGAACTGAGCTGCTAGAACAATGTGAGCTGTAGTAAAGGAGTGAGTGCTTATAACCCCAGGGTTTACAGATCCTTGGTAGGTGCTCTCAGTTTGTGAGAGTAGACAGCTAATGAGCCTACAGGTATACAACAGTGTGGTGGACATTTGCCTTTTGGATTTTTTTTGCCTACCCAGCATTGAATCCCACTGCTTATGTTTGTGGAATTCCAAACCACTCTAAGGCAGAGCCCACCAACTACTCTGAAAGCGGAAGATGACACATATTCAATTTCCAGCCTCCTTTGGAGGTAGAACATGGACATGGGACCTAGAATTGGCCACTCAGTCCCAGACTCTGAATTAGAAACTAGAGACGAAAAGATGAAGAAGGGACCCTGGAGCAGTCACTTTGGTGCAGACAGTGTAACAGCAATATTGAATTTCTAAGTCCAGGTGAGGCAGGGAGATAGTGGTGGAGTCTGGGTCTGGTGCTGGGAGGACAATGGCTGTGCACCTGGTGCCCAACATCATCAACCGTGGGCTGGTTTTGTGATTTGGGCTGTGGTCCTAGCCACAGCCTAAGTCTCTCTTTTTTCTGCTTATTTTCAAAGCATGGTTTTACAGAACCACCCAGAAGTTATTTGAACTATCCAGGATCTTTACAGTGGATTCCTTTTCTACATAAAAAATCCAGAGGCGGTTTCTGTTGATTGCAACTAAGAACACTATTACCAAAATTGGTACCAGGAAACGGAGTGCACCAAGCAGCAGAACCAAAATGGGAACGGACTCAGTAGAGGAGGTCCGGTACCAGGCAATGCGGACCTCAGAGTTTTGAGCTGGAAAGTTGGTGACTGTTGTTACACGGTTGTGAGATGGTTGGTGATTTCTGAAAGTGTTCACTGAGGTCACGTAAGAACCTCTCAGAAAGAAGAAGAGGGTCAGTCTGAAAGCCAAAAATAGTACTTTACTAAAAGAGGCTCTTTCTGTCTGCAGCCTGCAATTGAAGTTATGAAGCATTCAATTAACTTAAGCTATTGGCTGAAATACGTTAATTTTCTACTTCAGGATAAATTGAGTAAGGAGAGGTACGCAGGGATAAGGAAGGGCCTGGAAAACACCCTGACCATGTGAGGCCATGGATAGAAAATGAGTTCAGAATCAGGTTGGAGAGTCTCAGCTGAGGCTCCAGGTTTGTTGTTCAATGGAGTAAACAGAGAACTAGGATTGAAATATCTTTTTGGGAAGTGAAAAATCACGCTGGTATGAGTTATACAAGTTTCTTTATAACAGCATCACCAAACACTTGCCACTTTTATTTCAGTCTGAATGCCATTTGCACAGAACTATACTTTTAAGAATCTTAGATGATTTTCCTTCCGTTATTCAAAGCTCAGAGATGTCAAAGTTTTCAGTTTATTAACGCTTTAGTTTCTGGGTTTTGCAAATAAAGTACTGACTCTATTAGCTTCTTTTATACAATAATCTGAGAGTGTTTTACACATAATAAAGAATTCACCCTTCAGCGCCCATCCAGAGAGAGAAACTGAGGCACAGAGCCTTGATCACGTCTGCATGCAATCAGGATCAGTTCTCAGAACTGAGTATAGGCAGCCAAAATGTGAACTGTTCCAGACTTTGTGGCTGGTGGTCAGCTGCCTGAGATAGGTGTTAGACGTCCTGGCTTTCTTGCTTTGGCTTTTATTATCCATTCCCCGCAAGGAGCAAGACACCTGAAGGTCTGGACTCACGGGGCCTGCATTATCCATTTCGTCTGCTACACCAGAGAGGAAAGCTCTATCCAACAGCTCTCTGTTCTGGGCCTGTGCCCTGCAGAGCAGGCTACGTGCTTGGGAAGCCTCATTTCCTTGTCCATTTCACAGGTGGATGTGGAAAAAACATCACCAGGGAGTTGATCCGAGAAGCGTACAGATGTGTGGAGTGTCATGGGGAACTTGGGACCTGGGGCCAAGTTCAGTGTTTATTTTGGCTCCTCCGTATTCCTTCAGAAAGTCCCTTCAGTGGGTCTGTGGTGTCAGCTCTCTGGAAGTGTCACGCTGGCATAGACTGTGATGGAGTTTGGTTCCTGGGAGCAAAACAGAAGAAGTCTGTGAGTGAAGGGACTGGCGCTGGCTTCATAGGCTACAAATGGAGACAGGGCTTCTTAGGAAAAGGAAAAGGTCTCAGAAATCATGCCGCCTAGAAACTTACTTGCTCAAGGTCTGTCACAGTCGGGCATTGCTGGAAGCAGCATTCAGGTCCCCAGACTGCCTGCCCTGCCTGCAAGACAGGCTACAGCTCCCTTCTAAGCATACACAGGCCATCAGGGAGACAGGGAGACCTGTCCCAGTGGTCTGAGGACCGCCACTCAGTGCCCCACCTCCCTCTTTGCTCTCTTCCCTTCCCTTGCCTTGTAAGGAAAACCATTGGTTTTGCTGTTAGCACGGGGGCACAGTTTGGAGAAGCCAAGAGAGTTCTAAATTACTGAGCTTTGAAAAGGGCTAGTGAGATGCAAAGGAGAAGGAAGAAGCAGTTCACGCAGGAGAGAAGAACGGGGAGAGACAAGGATTGTCAGCAAATCCTCTTACAGAGATGGAATTCTAGGATCAGAGAAAGAAAGAGACAGGAACATGTTCTGCTGTAAAACGTGTAAAACGCGCTGTAAAATGTGAAATATACTGTTTTTCTTCCCAAGAAAACTTCATTAAAAATCTACATTATTTTTTTAAAGCTTTTGAAGTCAGATTCATGTTTTTACCTCCCCCTCGGATAGAACAGTGTTCTGAGAATAGACTTCAAGATGAAGCCAGGACATCCTCCCAGGCATCTCTGGGGGTGCATACAGTCGGAGCTTTGAAAAAGAGGGGTAAATGGAGGCACTTCTGTGGCCTTTTACTCCTCAGTTGTCTCCTAAAATGCTTTATTTAATAGAGCCCAACTGGAGCCAAGATTTCAGCCCAGAATTTGTTTCTGTCTATTTAGTAAAAGAAAAAATTTCTGTCAAGTAAACTTAATCCACGCTGATCTTGCAATGGAGTAGAATAGGTAAGGCTCATTCTGGGCCGCACATCATATTCTGTTCTAGGCTTCACACCTATGCAGAGCTCCATTCCTAAATATTCTGTTTGAATAGGGCTGGATGCAGCCTAGGTATGAGTATTTTTACAAAGCTCCCCTGGTGATTCCATTATGCAGCTGGACTTGAGAAGTCCTGGATTCGATATGCTATTCCCAAACTTAAATGTGCAACAGGATCACCTGGGGGACGTTTTTTAACATGTAGATAACCTGGCTACTTGCCGTAAATGTGCTAATTGAATAGAATCGTAGGTGGAAGGCCCCAGGCATCTTTGTTTTTAACAAATATGCCAGCTGATTCTGATGTGGTCCTTGGACAACAGAGAAACTGTAGTGAGCAGAGAGTGAACTATAACTCCGTATCAGCAGCCCTCATGGGTTTCCCGGAAGTCCTGCAACCAAGGCTGCAGATGCTCCTTGCTTCCAGCTTGCTATGCCTGCCTTGTCCATTTCAGGACTCTGTTTCATTTCAGCTCTACCCAGATGCCACCCTTTCCCCTCCTCCAACTATTCCCTCTCTACAGAGAGGAGGCAAGGCGCAGAGAGATGGTTCACCTGGACAGCCTCTGGAACAGGCTCTGTGGCAGCAACATAAATGGTGGTGCAGGGATCCTGAGCTGGCAGGGCATCAGGTTTCTTTTGAAAAGACTGTCAGAGAAGCAAGGAAAGCAGATTAGCTGAGCAGAGAGTTATTTACCATCCAACTCTCCCCAGGGAAAAGCACAGAGTCAAGAAGCTTTGAGTTAGAAAGCTCCTTAGAGTCCTTGTTCCAACCTCCTTCCTAGGTAGAAATTCTCCCCCAAATTCCTTGGAACTCAATGTTCCTGGCTTTGCTTGGACCCCCCATGTGACATCTTGGAGCTCACAACCTTGTGAGGCAGCCTAGATCATCATTGACACTTCCTAGATGTTTTAAAGGTCTTCCTCACAGTGAATCAAAATTGATATGGCTCTTACCAGGGCAGCTGAAAGGAATGAGGTCTTTATAGTATTTTAGTCTCATTAATAGCACCCACAACACGCAGAGTTCATTCCATTCCCACACTGTTGTTCCTGCTATTCCTCACTCTAACACGGTTTCTCATTACTTCTCTTTCCAGCCCAAATGTTGAACTTAATAATAACAACACATATGTAAGTGTGTTAACATTTACAAAGTTCTCCACATATGTCTTCTCATTTGTCTCACAACCACTCTATATGCTAAATACTGTTGTTACTCACATTTTACAGATGAGGAAGCTAAAGCCAGGAAACGTTTAGTGCTTTCCTACTGTGCACATGCAAGAAGTATCAAGGCCAGGAGTTCCACCAAAGTCTTTTAACTTAAAATTCTCTTTCCATCATACTATTTGTCTTTGGTTGCCCCAATTTGTAATGACCTCTCCTTTACCTAAATCCCTCAAATCTAATTCACCTAAAATCTAATTCACACATTATAGCACTTATCTGTTCACTGTATTTAAAACATTCTGATATAGTCACACGTTGTTTCTCCAAATAGACTATCAATTCCTTGAGAAACAGCCTATATTTCTTTGTATTCCCCACAAAACAGTGCTGAGCACACGAAAACCTTCAGTTGATGTTTGTTGAATGTTACTTTGAATGAATTAAAATCCACAATACCAGGACAAAATCAGTGTAGGGGTAAACTGAGACCACATCCCCGTAAGATAGAGATGACATAACCTATGCCGGGAAAGCCATCCTTTCAATGCATTCTGGGAGCACTGGTGTAGAATAATGCTACTCTCCCCTTTTCCTGGGTAAAGAGCAAGACTTGAAACTGAAGCACATGGGTTTTAATGAGAGAGAATTTGGAATCTCGTCATCTGATGGAAGAGGTAAGAAGTTGGGAAAGTTTATGGGAGGAAAGAAGATTCCAGGTGGGACATGATCCTTCTCTTCATATGGATTGCCATGTAGAAGAGGAATTAGATTTTTTCCACAAGGTCCTTTAGGTTTAAACCAAGGTTGGAACTTTAGCGAAATATTTTGGTTCAGTATGATGAAGATCTTTCTAATAGTAAAAGGTGCTCAAATGTGAGATAAACTGCCTTGGGAGGCGGTGAATCCCCCATTACTGGAAGTGCTTGGGGTATACCAGGGCTTCTCACAATTTAATGTGCATTTGAGTTACCTGGAAATCTTGGTAGAAGGCTGGTTCTATTTCAGAAGATCTGGGGTGGGGCCTGAGATTCTGCATTTCTAATAAGGTCCCAGGTCCCGATGCTCCTTATTCACAGACTATATTTTAGTAAAAAGGAGCTAGCTAATACTTTGGAAGTAATGTCGTAGAAGATAATTCAAGCAGTAATTGAGTGGTTCAAATAGATGACTTTCAAGATCCCATACAATTCGTAGATACTGTATTTTGGAGAAAATTAATTTAAGGAAGAATTACTTGTAATAATGGATGTACGAGGAGAATGTGAAACAATTTAATTAAGAGATGTTTATCAACAGATGCAACTTCTTCCTGTCTTCCTGTCTGGGAGGACTTTTGTATGACCTGGCTTAGAGCCATGGGGAAAACGGCAAATAACTTATGCTTTTAACATTTAATTAAGAAGTTTTAGAAAGGAGAAAAAAGTATAAAGGAAATCACCCACAGTTCTATCACTTCAACACAATATGGTTAGCCTGTTATTAGATTTCCCTACAGGATTTTTGTTTAGGCATATGGAATTATTTTAAACATAGTTGTAATAATTTAGTACATTTTCATATCTTGGTGCCTTCAATTAGGGCACAACTCCAGGGAGCATCAGTGACAAGAAACTCCAGGGGCATTATTCTCACATATTCTTGGTGAATGGTGTCCCCTGGAATCACACAAAGTGGTAGCCCTGATAAGACCTAGAAGAGTTCTGTAGCAGATAGCAAATATTTGCTAAATAATTTTCCATGTTATTATAGTATTTAATGGTATTGATAATCATTGCAAATAAGAACAAAGGAAATGTTGATTTTTGAATAATTGTCCATGTTATTACAGTTTTTATATGAAATCGTATAGGCATTGCAAATACGAACAAAGAAAACGGCAAGGATGTGGCTAAGTCCAAATGCATACTGATATATAAAACAAATATAATTATGTTTTGTATATTTAAAATATATACGAATTTAATATAATAACAGAAAGGGCACATAAATCAGGATGTGAAGTTAAAGTGAAGTTAGAGTGTTATCCAGGAAGGGAATAAATCTTAGACTTTGATAAGGATGCATTTTGTAATTTCTAGGGTAGCAACTAAAAGAATAGAAAAAAGTTGTTTGCTTACTAATCTAATAGAGAGAAAGATAGGACAATAAAAACATAATTTAAAAGACTGCTTCCTCAAAGAAACCGCTGGTTCAGATAGCTTCACCCACGAATTTTGCCAAATATTTGAGGGGAAAAATAACATCAATCCTACCCAAGCAATAAGGAAATGCACCCTATAGAGAGTTGAACTGTGGCCCACAAAAGATAAGTCCACCTGGAATCTCAAAATGTGACCTTATTTGGGATAGGGTCTTTGCAGATGTAATTAAAGTGAGGATTTCAAACTGAGGTCATGCTGAATAAGGGTGGATCCTAAATCCAGTGACGAGTTTCCTCACAAGAGACCGAAAAAGAAAAAACACAGAGACACAGAGAAAGGAAAGTTATGTGAAGATGGAGGCAGAAATTGGAGTCATGTAGCTGTAAGCCAACAAATACCAAAGAGTGCCTGGAGCCACCAGAAGTTGGAAGAGGCAAAGATGGTTCTCCCCTGGAGCCTTCAGAGGGAGCATGGCCCTGCTGGCACTTTCATTTGGGACTTCTGGGCTCTAGAATTGTTAGTGAATACATTTTTGTTGTTTTAAGTCATCAAATTTGTAGTAATTTGTTATGGTAGCACTAGGAAACTAACATACTCCCCAGCTCATTTTGTGAGGGTAGCATAATCGTGATATCAAAACCTCACAAGGGTATTACAAGAAAGGAAAATTATAGGCCAATTTCCCTCAGAAACATAAACAGAAAAAAAACCTTAACAAAATATCAGCAAATAAAACCCAACAATATTTAAAAAGGATCAGACTAAATTGCTTCTATGTAACATTGGAATGTAATGTTGGTTTAATCTTCACAAATCAGTATAGTTCAGCAGATAAATAAAAAAGATAAATTTAGAAAAAGACAAAAATCCTGATTATATCAACAGATGCAGAGAGAATGTTGATAAAATTCAACATCAACTCATGATAAAATGTCTTAGCAAAGCAGGAATAGAAGGGAATATCCTTTCTTTCTTTCTTTTTGGTGAGGAAGATTGTTGCTGAGCTAACATCTGCACCAATCTCCCTCTATTTTGTATGTGGGATGCTGCCACAGCGTGGCTTGTTGAGCAGGGTGTAGGTCTGCGCTCGAGATCCAAACCTGTGAACCCCAGGCCCCCAAAGCAGAGCATGCAAACAACCATTATGCCACCAGGTTGGCCTCTAGAAGAGAATATTCTTAACCAGTTAAAAAGGTAGCTACAAAAAACCTTCAGCAAGAATTACATTTAATGGTAAGATATTGACAGCTTTCCCTTTGAGTTTCAAACTATGCAAGAATGCCACGATGACCATTTCTATTCAACATTGTGTAGGACATCTCAGCCAGTAAAATAGGGCAAGAAAAAGGAAGAGCAATTATGTGAACTGAAAATTAAGAAATAAAACAGTAATTTTTACAGATGATAGAATTGTGTACAGAGAAAATCTAAATCATCTATAGATAAATAACTGGAATTTGTAAATAAGTTTAGCAATGTTGCAGATATAAGGTTAATATATAAAAATTAATTGTATTTCTATATATCAATAATAAACAGAAACTAAAATTTTTTCAAAAGATAACATTGATGATAGTATCCCAAAATATTAAATGCTCAAATGCCAAGCAATAAATTACAGATGTGCAAATCCTCTTGCAGAAAACTATAAAACATAATTTAGAGAAATTAAAGAAGATATTAATAAAGGAAAGGGTACATCATTTTGTGAATTGAAAGACTCAATACTATAAATATGTATGGTCTCCTTAAATTGATCAATGCCATTCTAATTAAAATTCCAGCATGATTTTTAGAAGGAACTTGACAACGTGAATCTAAAATATGTATGAAAATGCAAAAGGACCAAAATGATCAAGAATTCTTGAAGAGGAAAAAGAAAAAAGGAGAAGACTCATTTTACCAGAAATCGAACTTATAATAAATCTGTAATCACAGATTTCTAAACACAGTATGGTACTCTTGCAAGTATAAACAAATAGACCAATGGAGTAGAACAGAGAACCCCAAAATAGATTCATACATATACGGACCCTTGATCTATGATGAAGGTGGCACTGAGGTGGGCAAGGACAATCTTTTCAATAAATGGTCAATGGGATATCCATCTCAAAAAAAAATGAAACGACCTAGTTCATGTCATACTCCAAAGATCATTTTCAAGTATAGAATAGACATAAATGTGAAAGATAACCATGCAGCTTTTAGAAGATGATAGAAGAATATCTTCACCACCTTGGAGTAGAGACAAATTTTTCAAACAGGACACGAAAAGTGCTATCTATAAAGGAATAGATTACTAAATTGTTCTACGCTAAAATTAAGAACTTTTCTTTATCAAAAGGTATCTCTGAGAAATTGCAAAGTCAAACCACAGAATGGGTCGAGGTATTTGCTAACATATAATTGCCAAGAAGCTAAAAATATTTAAAGAGCTTATTCTAATCCACAAAAAAAAGCCTGAAACTGAAAGGAAAATGGACAAGAGATTAAACAGACACTTTAAGAAAGAGAATGTTAATATGGCCTATAAACATATGAAAAATTGTTCAACTTCCTCAATAATTAGAGAAATGCAAAATAAAACTATAAAAAGACAATCCAAGAGAATGACTAAAATTAAAAAGACTGATAATACCAAGTTTTGATTAGAATGTGTAGCAACTGAAACTCTTATATGTAGCTGGTAGAAAAATAAATTGATACACCCATTTTGAAAAACAGTTTGGCCTTATCTAGTCAATTGGAGGATATGCATACTCGGTGATTCAGCAATTCTATTTCTAGGTATATACTCAACAAAACTATGTGCACATATCTACCAAGGGACGTACCGATGAATATTCATAGTTGCAATTTTCATAATAGCCTCAAACTGGAAATAACCCAAATGTCCATCAATATCAACTGGATAAATAAACTCTAGTATATTCATATACCGACATTCTATAAAGCAATGAAAATGAATACATTATATCTAAGCTGAAGGACATGTATGAATCTCATAAAAGTAATATTAAGCAAAAGAAGCCAGAAACGAGAGGAAAAATACCATAGGATTCCATTTTTATAAAGTCCAAAAAAACAAAAAAAGAGAGAGAGAAAACTAAACTATATCTTTAGAAGTCAGGATAGTGATATCTTTGGGTAGAAGAGAGAGGATAATGATTGGGAGGGGCACAAGGAGGTCTTCTGGGTATGATGGCAATGTTCTGTTTCTTCATCCGGTTGGTAGTTTTATGGTATTAGAAGACACGACACTGAAAGATGTAATTTCTCCTCAAATAGATCTGTAGACTCAATGCAATCCTAATAGGATATTTTTTTCCTTTTTGTGAAATCTGAGCTGATTCTAAAACACATATGAAAGTACAAAAGGACAGGAATAGTCAAAATCTCTTGAAGAAAAACAAGGTGGGAAGATGTGCTTTACTGGATATCAAGATGAGGTAATTCATTGAGCTGACATTTATACATTGTGCACTTTTTGGTATATATGTCATACTTTACAGTAAAAAGAGGGATGGGATCGAGTAGCTAGGGAAGGTGCCATGGTAAATGCGATCCTGGTTACCTAAATGCGTAAATGCAAGGTGGAGGTTGCTCTTGGGACTCTCATATATTTAAACGGAGCTTGGTTCTGAGCAGTGGTCATGGCCTGTGTAAATAAACCTTCCAGGCCACTAGGGGACAGCAGAAATAAGAGCTTGGTCCAAAGATCTGTCTCTGGTTATCAAAAATGCATTTATTGTCCTCTGATGCAGTTTTCCAGGGTGCTAATCAAAGCTTTACCTTCTTTACCTTCACATCCTTTACTCCAGGATTTGCCTTCCCCTACACCCTGAATGGCCAGATTCATCACCTAGAATTGCCTTTATGTCTGAAAAACTATAATATCTTCATATCTAACCATAATCCCTTTAGCCTTCCTCTTACTTCTAACATATCTGCTCCTCAACATCATCATGACTCTAGTTTTTTCATCTCTCCCTTCTGTGTCAGGCCAGTCATCACTCCATCACTGTTTTGCTTTCTTTCATCTCCAGCCTACATATCTTCTTCCATCTCTTCAACCACTCTTTAGTCAGAATCCTCAAGATCCTCCTTCCTTGTCTCTTCGGGACTTTGCAAACTCCTAAACTTAGATCATACCAACATGTCACACGATAGCCTTTCCAAATCTTTCCCTCTCTCCTCAAGCCAGCACCCATTTCCCTAGAGAAGTAGAGAGTTTGATAACATGGAACCATAGCCTACTAGAATTCCAGGGCTGGAAGGAGTCATAAGTCATGTTTCTAGCTTCCTCATTTTTTTCCTATGAAGAAACAGATGACCAGAAGATTACCCAGTGTTTTCCATTATGTCAAATAATAAATAGTTCCATCTGCCCCTGAAGTTTGATGTCATTCTAGAGAGCTCTTGTTCTGGACTTCTGCTTCCCTAATTTCCTCTGCTCCAGAACCCATGCAGAAGCATGAATGTCAGACACGCAAGGCAGATTAGCCAGGAATTCCGTAGGAAACGTGGCAGGTCCACCCCAGAAAAAGAAAACATAGAACTTACACCTGATTTCTGGACTTGGGCATAGATAGTAAGGTTTTTTGCTTCCTTTGTTGGCCGGTAATGGTCTGCTTTACCTGGAGAAAAGAAACCATAGTGGTTATCTCCCTCTGGTCCCCAACATAAACTCTCTGCCCAGACCTGTCTGGTCTTTGCCCCTCACTGTATACCCATCTTCTCCAAGAGTACCATAGGAACAATGGACTGAGTCCCAATCCCCCTGCATATATGTCATATGACATTAGGTTAGGTCCATGATCTCTCTGGGGCTATTTTTCAATCTGTGAAATGGAATTGGAATACCCGCCTCACAGGGCTGTTGTGATGATTACATGAGATATTACTTGAAAAGTGTTTAGAACAGTGCCTGGCAAATAGTAAGTTCCCAATATGTATTAGGTGTAATTGGTATGCCATTCAATTATTTTCACCTCTATTGTTTGATGTACATATCTGGTCTCCTAATAGGATTCCAAACTCTTTAAGGGCAGGGCAAGTGATTTACATCTCTTTTGCATTTTCCAGCTCATAGCATGCTGCTTCACTCACAGTTTTCTCACTTCCCTGTTTCTGGGGGACTTGGTGTGTGTATAGGGGGGTGTAAGAGGAACGATCCACCTGAGATTATTTGGAAAATAAAGCTACAATGTCATTCTAATACATTCCATCTGGAACTTTTGCTCAGAGCCTAGGGTCTCTGGAAATTAATAACTTCTAGAACATTTTAATTTTTAACTAGTTTTTAAATTATAGGAATAATTCATTCTCATTACAAAAGTTAAAATTGTATAGAGTAAAAAGTATGTCCACCCTCCTCCGTGCTTAACCAATGCAATTTCATTCTCAGAAGTAATCACTTTTAACTGTTTGATGTCTGACCTTGCGGACCAGCTCTGTGCAATAGGACTTTCTGTGATGATGGAAATGCTCCATATCTGTAGTCTAATATGACAGCTGCAAGCCACACGTGGCTATTGAGCACTTGAACTGTGGCTAATGCAACTAGGAACTAAATTTTAAATTTTATTTAATTCCAATTAATTTAAATTTAAACAGCTATATGTGGCTAGTGACCACCATATTAGGCAGTGCAGTTCTGGACATTTGCTAGACAGATTTTTTATATATATTTTAATATATTTTTTATATCTATATAGAATAGGGTCATTCTATACACACTTCTCTGTAACCTGGTCTTTTTACTTCCAATGTGTTGAGGACGTTTTCCGTGCTAGTGCAGTAGACCCATCTCATTCTTTCTAACGTTTCATAGTACTCATCGCATGTGTCATGTAGCAGCGAGAGGATGGAGGGAAAGTAACAGACCAAAGCAGGGAGGCCTATTTTGGAACTATTGTGAAGTCCAGGCAGAAGCAATGGAGGCTTGACCCGGAGGAAATCACATGTCTTAGGGTAGACCTATTTTAACATCAATTAATTTATCTTCTTTAAAACTAGGAGCATGTCTCTGAGGGAATAGCACTTAGGAGAGGTATAGTTTTATTTGGAAGGGAAAGGCCTAGTATGAATGTATATGGTGAAGGTTGTGGAACATGACACGAGGGTGTGATCCTTGGGGAGGAGATGACGGGCAGCTACTGGGAAAGCTCAAAGAATTCAAAGAATGTCAATGGATGGTTTTCTTGTGTGGTGTGGGTTTGGAGTGCCTGGTGGTTCCCACTTCACTTTTTTGGTCAGAGTTAATACTGATTGAGGAGTGTGTGTGTGTGTGTGTGTGTGTGTGTGTGTAGAATGGAGGATAGGGATTGTGGTGATCAGAAGTGGTAACAGAGTGGCTGCAAGTTAGTTCTGTGAAATATATCCTTTTGGTTCAAATCCATGAGAGCTGGCAAAGTTAGAAGCCCCCGCCCAGAACTATCCTAGGTGCTTTAGGGGAAAAAAATAGTGTAGGGAATGAGTTCTTAAGGACTATCAGGCTTTCATTTTGGTTCAGGCTGAAATTTAGAATTACGGGGACAGTCCTAAATGGTCAGACAGACGGAAAAATTAAGGCTAAGCGTTGCATTTCAAAAAGACTGAGGATCAAGATAACCTAGCCTCATACTTTTTTTTTTCCAGTACAAGAACAGATTTTCAGGAGCCCTCTCAACTCAGCTCAGTCAGTGAGGCCTTAGGGTCTAATGAAAAAGGTCTTGGCCTTAGAATTAGGGCACCTACATTCTAGCCCTCATGAGCTTTGTGGCATTGACAAAACACGTCATCTTAATGGATTTCTTCTCTTACCATAACTGTAAAATGAAGGGGTAAACTGTCTAGTGTCTCTGTAAGCTCTCCCCTGAGGCATAAATTTGTCTTATGTTACCATGACCTCAAGTCCTTTAAATCTGCTGTAGGTACAGTTCCCAGATGCTTCGAGCGCTGCCCTCTGCTGGCCATAGGATTTAAACACTGTTGTTTTAACTTGCCTGTGTTAGGAGATGTGTCTTTCTATGTATGTATGTATGTATGCTTGTTTGTATGAATGTATGTGTGTATCTTTCATCTATTATCTATCCATGGAAGGCACTATGTTAAGTGCTTTCTGTGTACTGACTCATGGATCCCCACAACAATACCATGAAGTACATAATATTATCCCCATTTTGCAGAGGAGAGGTTAAAGTGTTTGTTTGGTCACACAGCTTGTCAGTGGCAAAATCTGCCTTTGAATGTAAGTTTGTCTCATGCCAAGCCTATGTTCTTAACCAGTGTATTCTCCTGGACACAAAATTACCAGAGAGTCCGTTTGAAACCCTTCAGATTCAGGCTGCATTCTGGAGATGACACCATTAGAAGCTGCCAACAGAATCTCTTGAGCAAAGTCTTGAGGAGGGTACAGCAATTAAGTCTAGGTTTCTCCACGGATTTGAGGCAAGGTTTTGTGTGTTCCTGGCTTATAAGGAACGCATGATTAGAAACCAGGGCGGGTGTCTGTGTTGGGGAAGGTGGTAGGGAATTGTGGTAGGATGGGGAGCACTATTCCCTTCATAGCACAGCCATGTGATGAGTGGAATGTAGCTGAGGAAAGATGTGGGTTCGGATCCCAGGACCTTCATGAGCTAGGTTAAGGCGGGAGTGTTAATCTTCGTTTTCTCATCCCCGGTATCTCACTGCTCCTTATTATGCAAGCCGAATGTGGTTGCCTTGCCCCATCCTCTTAGGCCCTCATCATGATTTCTGTCTGAATCGCCCCACCCCCTCATCTCCTCCCCAGCTAACTCTTAGGTGGAGGAAATGAGACAAAAGTAGGCGGCTGTGCCATGCTCTAGATTTTCTTGTATAAGCAAAACCAACATCAGAGTGCTGAGGTAAGGGCTTTTCCCAAAAGGGTACATATGGAGAACATTGCTCTACTTGAGAATGAGATGGGCCGTCACCTCGGTGGTGTAAGGAGCAAATTCCATCCTCACCATGGGAAGACCGGCTTGGGGATCTGTCATGGTCATGGGGCAGGACCTTCTGACTTTAGTGTGTCTGGGTGGTGGACAGTGTGGCCGAGGGGAGCACATTGCCCTGAGATATTGAATCCTAGGATAATCTAGAGGAGAGGTCAAGGGATACTGCCTCTAGGCACTTAAACTTCAAGGGAATAATTGGGCCTTAATGGTTTTGGTCTACCCTGGGTGACTTCCATACTATTTAGTTTGGCTTTAAGCAACCTCACGAATCACATACTTTCCCAAGCTGAGTCAGAATTTATGCTAAAATCTTAGTAAAGAGTTTTCTCTCAGCTGTCTTCTGATTACCTGTGGGCCTTCCCAGTGGAACACAACCTGGTAGTTAGGAGACATAATTACAGTTCTGGTTCCCTCATCAACTAGCTGGGAGACCTTGCACGAGTCACTTAGCTTCTCTGTGTCTCTGTTACCCCATTGCTATGTCACATAAAAACAACTACCTATTTCTCTCAGAGGGATATCATAAGGATAAAAGGAAATTATAGAAAGGTTTCAACCCTTGGGTGAAATCATCTTTTATTAGTCAGTAATCATAACTTCTCTTGAACGAGATCCAAGAGAGTCCCCTGAATTTTGCTTCTAGTGAATATTGTTAAGCCTCTTGTTTGAACTTCTTCAGCATCCTGTACGTACCTCTACTGCAGTGCTGGTCATGTTGGACATAATTATCTGTGTAAGGTCTCCCACGTTAGATATCTATGGCTCATCTCTCTTTTTATCCCCGTAGCCTAACATAGGGGATCGAGACATGTTGAATTAGACCAAACTGAGTGAGATCCCAGAATATGTTCATTTAGTGTTTTTGCAAAGGTGCTCCCAGCAGAGAGCCAAAGTGGTGACAGGTCCCCTGCTTACCACAGAGTCTGATAAGAATCTCTTTGTTGTCAGACACCTACCTCTTCTTCTAAACCGTAGTACTGCCACTGTGAGAATCATGATGACACCAGCGATGCCCCCTAAGCACAGCCCAGCATACAGTCCCCATTGTCTTGATACTGAAAGAAAAGTCAAAGGGCAATCTCAAAAGTACTGTGAGTTTAAAAACATCCTACACGGAAGTGGGGAGACTGAGCCTCATGCTCTCTTTCTACATTCTTCTCAAGGAAGACATTTGCTCTGATGATTTTAGAGATCAGCTTTGGACCACTGAAGATTTCTGTACTTGTTTTCTTATCCTAACTTCTCTCCTGATACCTGACATTCATATTCCTAATTTCCATTAAGATTTTTCTACTTAAATGCTTTATTTTCATCGCAAAGACCACATATCTAAATTTAAACTTATCCTTGCCTCTCCTAAGTCAACTCCTTGTCCAGTTTCTCTATTTTTAAATCTCTACTGTGTTTTGTATCCATTTTCTTAAAAAGAATATGACAGCTCCACGTGTTGTCCCCATACTCCCACGCCATTCTCATGAGACACTGGGAGGAAGAGAGATCTACTTTTGTTTTTCTTAAATAAACACAATAGTGCTATTATCGTCCTTCCATGCAAATAACTATTGAATTCGCTAGACCTGAACTGAAAGAGAAGCATGTATTTTTCCCTCTCAGTGATTCCCATGTTTAACATTTCTGCTGGAGTACCAATCCCCCAGCCTCAAAATCACAAAGCCAATTTTTATTGTTTTTCCTCCTTAATGTACTTTACTAAATCCTGAACCAGGAGCAGAACTTTGGAAAACAGTGAATGAGACCTATTGCCTCAGTAAACAAGACATTGGGCTGAATAAGATAATAGACAATTATCGAGGATTTACAATGGGCCAGGTAGTTTTTTTTAGTGCAGCATTGTGTTAATTAATGTATTTAATCCTCACAACAATCCTACAAGGTTGGTACTCTCATTACTCTTAGTTTATGGATAAGGAAGCAAACGAGGAGAGCCTCAAGAACTAGAGTTTGGTCTAGGAGTAGAAACATGGCTGAATATGTAAGACAGACTTCTTGGAGAGTCAGAGAGACTTATAAGCTTGGGGTAAGTTAACCAGGGTGATTAACAGTGGGGGTCAACCTGAGGCACTAGGGTTCTAGGTGAAGTAATAGCATTAAGGTTCTAAATAGTATAATACTAGGTATTGACATTAATGTGTAAGAGTAACTTATAAAAATGATTGTGGAATCAGCCTGCTTGTTGTAGAAACTGCGATGGATTTTTTGGAAAGAAGTTAAAAGGAAGAAGTAGGTGAGTTACAAAGGAGCAGAGTGCTTATAAACACAATTCAGGTGTTTACAGAGTTAACCAAAGATACAGACTGAAGTCTCAATGAATTGATAAAAGGCATCGCACCAAGATCCAAGTGGGCCTTCAGCCTGATAGCTAACCAGAAGCTGCCTCCTGACTTTGAAAAGATTCTGTTTTCCTTCCTAGGCCTTTCACACATCAAGTCATCCCAAGCAATCTCACCGAACTATAGATACTCTTTCCTAAATTAAACATGTTTGAACCTCTCAGATACCAACTTCAGCAGAGAGTCATATGACCGGATCAAAAACATATGACCGGGGACAAGCAGAGAGTTGTAGTAAGACTCTCGAATTTCTATAAAGCATGAAATTTGAGTATGGAATCACCGTTGAGGCTGGAGCTGCCCTGTGAGCAGCTCCACTCCAAATGACCCTTCTGAACGGCTTATGACTGCTGAGAACCCTCTGTGCAGAGGTGCGTGTGTGTGTGTGTGTGTGTGTGTGTGTGTGTGTGTCAGAGAGAGACAGAGACAGAGACAGAAAGAGAGTGGCTAATGATTAATAACTCAGGGTTTATGTTGCCAACACGAGGGACCCATGAAAAAACCTCCCAAATCCTGAGAAGAAGAAGAGCCAGTAGCCTAAGCACCACAATGTTTCATTAGACCGTGGAACTTGCCCAGCAGACTGTCATAGTAGCACTAACTATTTTGAGACTATTTCCTCTTTCTTCTTCTCTGTTGTATTTTGGGACCTTCTAAAACAGTTAGTTTAAGGAGAAACCCTCCAACCATTTAAATCATTTTAAAAGGTAACATTTCTCTCAAATTTCATTTGAGAGAAAGACAAAATAAAACCAACAAACAAGGTGGCGCCTCTAAAACTAGAAAATAGCAGATGACAAAACTTTACCAGTTACGCCTGCCAGGTGAGCCTTTCTCCTGTCCCTGCGTACCTATTGTGACAGCTCTGCCACCTATCTACTCACATAAACTAAAAATGACTGTCTCATATTACTGAGGTCCAGAGGGCACAATAATGCCAGCCCTCTCTTTTCTAGGGTCTCAGGAGGATGAAAACCATCTGCTACCCTTGTCTTGTGACATAAATGACCAGCTTCTGCCAGTCCAGCCAGGTCTGAGAGGCAACCTTGCCATGGTCCTGAAAGATAATTCATAAGCCCTAATTTTTCTCCTAGTCTTTGAACACAAAGTAATACAGATCTTTTTGAGGATTTAAGTTACTAAATCATAGATTTTTCTTTTAGTTTTCAAAATGTTTACTAAACCTTAACATATACTTTCCAAAAGGCTGTAGGAATTCTCAATCTTATCAGCACCTGTATCTTAATCTCATCAGCACCTCAATCCTCTCATGCCCGTACATGGGCTGAGAGGTTGCTTTCGTTTCTCTGTATTCCAGCTAGTAGTGGATGTCACTGTTTTCTTTCCACTTCTACCACAGTGATGGGCAAAAAACAATAATCTTGCTTTAATTTAATACCAACTTTCTTTTCTACTAATGAGATTGAATATCTTCTCAGATATTTACTGTTAATCTACATTTCTTCTTCTATGAGTTACGTTTATATCCTTTGGCCATTTTAATGTAGTATCATTTTCTTATTCATTTGTGAGAACTCTTTATATATTAGGACTGTTAATGCTTTGTTATGTGCCAGTTTTTCCCTTGTATATCATTTGTCTTTCTCCTTTATTTGTATACTATTTCCTTACAAAAATTCTAATTTTTTATATATATATATATATTATTTCCTATCTTGCTTAACTCTTGCTCCATCCCCCAAATTGAGAGAAGCACTAGAGTCTTCTAGTGGCTAAGAGCATGGGCTCTGCAGTCATAATACTCAGGTTTAAATGCTAGTTCACCACTCACCATTGTGAATACTTGATCAAGTTTCTAATTTGTTTCCTCAAATACGAAATAGGGATGATGAAAGTACCTACCTCATAAGGTAGTTGGGGGAGGGATTAAATAAATCTATGTATATACTCAAATCTATGAGTGTACTCAAAATGGCTGTTATTTACGATTTGAAGTTGAATCCAGGATTATTTATGACAATGGTCCTCAAACTTTACCATGCATCAGAATCACCCAGAGGGCTTGGTAGCATGTGGATGGCAGAGCTTCATGCTCAGAGTTTCTGATTCAGTAGGTCGGCAGTAGGGCTTGCGTTTTTTTAACAGGTTCCTGGATAATGCTGATGCTGCTGGTGTGGGCACCATATTTTGAGAACTGCTTATTTAAAAGAATGTTTCTTAATCTCTAAAAAGTTGTGTTAGAGGATATGGGATCAGTTTTCTATAGAAGATGTTGTTTTCCAGTTTTATTTAACCATATCTCTTGAGTGTACAGATAGTATACATGGCTGATATACGTACTTTCAAAACCATAGATTTTTTTAACCCTAGGGAACTATAGCGCTTATCTCACCCAACTCTCTAATTTTATGTTGAGGAAACTGAGACTCAGACAAGTGTCCCTAGAGTCACAGAAGAAGTTGACGGCAGCTAATGAGATGAGAACTGTAGACTTTACAGTTTGTGTTTTAGCTGGCAGAGATGGGACCCCTACAAGGAGAGCAGCAGGCTGGGATGCCTGGGCGACCTCATGAGTCAAAAGCTCTCTGAGATGACGACTCATCCCGTCATCATCCCTGCCCATTCCGGCCCCCATGCTCTGCCCCTCTACTCTTCCTCTCGCTGCACCTTCAGCTGTCCAGAAGGTCTGCTCAGCCTTGACCCCCAGGCCAATCGTACTTCCACTGTGTCACTTTTCCTGACCATTCCAGCTCCCACGCTTCCCTCTCCCACAGACTCGCCAGCACCTTGGTTTATGACATGCATCTTAGAACCTGAATTGTGGCAACACTATCTTTGCTGTGGAGACCATTTTAAGGGAGGGCATTTGGAGCTAGAAAGTTGGATTCAAGTTCTGGGTCTACCACTTGATAGATCTATGGCCTTAAATGGGCTGCTCATATCCTCTGGGGCCTCAGTTTCCTCATCTTCAAAATGAGCACAACAATATTCAGTTTACAGAGTTGTCCTGATGAATCAGTGAAAGAATGTATAGAAAGTGCCCAGAGCAATGGCTGGAACCCAGCATTTGGTGAATAAATATCAGCTCTTTCCACTAGCTCAATTCCCTAACTAGCTGCTAGGTTCTTGGAGGCCAGAGACCATCTCTCTACTCCTTTTGCAGCTCTCTTAGTATCTGGCAAGTAATAGATCCTCGGTAAATTCTTGGTTGATTGGAAGGACAAGGAAACAGGTTTGATCTCAAGTCCGGGGGAGTCCCCTCACTGACGTTTGGAGATGCTTCAGCCCCATCCTGTTGTTAGCTTATGACTTATTTTCCCTATCTGACTAGCAGGCCCAAGTATTTTTGCACTTGGTCCTCATCTATGTGGTGCTATTATCTAATGATGATATTTATATGGAAACCAGAGGTCAGGGACTCTACTCTCAGGAATTTGGGTTAATACAGAAAAAATGCTACTTTATGGCTTGTTGGGGTCAGGTTGCCTGTGATTTCTGTAATTTCTGGCAATAGGTTCACTGTGATCCTCTAAGTGTTTGCTCCTGCGATTCCACTTGCTCTAGTCTGGGCCTTCCTGGGCAAAGGTTCAGTGCCTTCATCAGTTTCCACAAAAAAACAAAACCAAAACCAAAACCTGCACTAAGAATTCTGTGGGTTTGAATCCTCTACCGTAGCTTTGAAGCATCACAGGGAGCAGATTCCATCGTGAACCAGGCAGCTTTCCACCATCTGACAGGCTCAG